GCGCCACAAAATGTTGGTCAAATTTAATGCTAAAATGATAGGCTAACACTTTTGTGAACGTAAACGCACAAATAGCGAAAGAGAGTTGACAAACTACCTCTTAACTGAAACGTTGCTCTTACCCAAAGCATTGTTGGAAGAAAATGAGTAATCGGACAACTACGGCGAACGCAGCCCGGGGGGAGGGGGTACTCCCTTATAAGGGCTTAATGGGGGCGTGCGGCCAGCCAGGGTATGTTTTTCGGGATTTTTGTCTTAAACAGGGCATCGAATTTATCATTTTTTGTCTTAATCAGGGTATCGATTTATCAATTTTTGTCTTAAACAGGATATCTTTTCTTGGACGATAAACAGCAAAATTTTTACAAGCTCTAATGTCTTGAACAGGGTATCAAAAAACGGAATTCTGTCTTAAACAGGGTAGGAAAATCAGCGATATTTGTCTTAAACAGGGTCAGGGTATGAGGGGCCGCGCCGCACCTCCCCACCCAGGGATATATCGAGTACCCCCAGAAAATAAAAAATCACTAAACTGGAAATGAAATAGTAGACAAAACACGGTTTGCAAACTAAATTTCTAATTATGGTCTATGTACGTTGTTATAGGACTACTAGGAGCAAAAAAAGGTTTTGCTAATAATCATCGGAAAAGGCTTATAAAGCCCCTAACAAAACAAGGGCAAATTATGCCATAAATCTGATAGCAAATAGATTTCCATACGTGAATAATAACTATTATCCCCAAGTGGCATACTACTCGTGAGCATATGATAAGAAGGTCAGAGATCTTGTATGAATATATTATCGTGCGAGAGGGTTTTCATTGCAGTTAAAAATTGGATGGCGAGGTGTTCTCGAACTAGCGGGCCTATTTCGCCTCAGAACGAGAACCTTTGGAGCTAAAAACTGCCAAGCGGTTTCTGCAGTTGCTGTGTTTTGTTTTCTTAATATTTTTGTCGAAAATGAACACACAAATGCAGAGTAAGTTGGATAAATAGAATATATTTAATGTCAACGCGCATGTAGCAGAAAGTTCGTTGTATTAAAGCGCTAACTGCGTTCGCCGTAGTTGTCCGATTACTCATTTTCTTCCAACAACGCTTTGGATAAGAACAACGTTTCAGTTAAGAGGTAGTTTGTCAGCTCTCTTCCGCTATTTGTGCGTTTTCGTTCACGAATATGTAAGCCCATCATTTTAGCATTAAATTTGACCGACATTTTGTGGAGCGATATCTACGGTCACGATTGCCTTACAACTTGCAGACATAAAACTAGAGAGCTCTGAGGCTTATTTGCTGAAGTTAGGGAAAAATCTGTCGTGGGATTTCGAAGTTATTTTCATTTTTCGTAAAAATGAGGTTTGAAATATATGCCGATATCTCAAAAGTTTTTATACCTATAAGAAAATAAATAACATTTTCTTAAAGTTCCATCATTATTTATTAAGGGTGCAAAAAATCGTAGAAATCGGTTGAATCTTTCATTCTGAAAAACCCGAATCAAAAACATAACCAACTCGCATATAAATAGGAACGGGCCACCTTAAATGGACTTTGTGACCTGTCGACTGAGTTCCCCGTTTTGTTTTCTGGGTGGGGGCGGAGTGGAGTGAATAAAGTTAAGGTTATGTGAAAAACTCTCTTGGTGATGACGGATGTTTTAAAAATATTGTCTAGGTTGCAAGAAGGCATGTGATGGGGCGATAGTTTTTAGAGTTTTTGGTGTCTTCTGTTTGGGGAAGCAAATAGGTGATACCAGTTGTTAGCCAGTCAAAGCGATTTCAGGGTTGCCGCCGAAACATTCATTGTAAGCATTTGTTAGGTCTTTGTGTAAGGAAAGCATGAAAAAGTTCTTGATCCAGAAGTTTGCTATGCCGTTTTTACCAGAGGCTTTCCAGTTACCGGCTTTCTTGGTTTCTTCTACGGTTATTTGTGGCCATACCTGATGATTGATTCAATATTCTCAGTTTCTATTTGGCCGAGTCAGTCAACGTTTTGTTGTTGTTGTTGTTGTTGTTGTTTTTTTTTTGTTTTGTAGCTCTTAATATGTTTTTTCCAGATATTTCCCCAGAATCTCTTTGCCTCATCAATAATTCTAGGCACGTGGTTCTTTGATCCCAACGGAACGTTTCCTCGTTAGTCTCTAAAGAATTTCTTAGCGTTTTCGCTGTAAGTTTTGTTCTAGTGGAAATTAAAAACTATCGTCATTTTTCAAATCTCCTAAAACGTTGGGCTTAAGCTTGTGGTTGTTGTTAAGTTTTCCAACGGTTGCTGGTATTCGGTTTTCTTGTTTCATATTATGCTTGCTAATTGGTGCCTTTTTTCGTTTTTCTTTGAATGGTTTTTCGTTCTAGATCTCATCTAGCGTAGATGGGTCACCCTAGTACAAGAGAGGCTTAACGATTTTTTGGTGCACTTTGGCGTACAAGCACCAAACCTGGCACAGATGTTCGTTGGAACATTCCGGACAGTTTCAGAAGGGGTGTCAAAAAATTGGACCTTCAGCGGGGGAGGGGAGGGGAAATCTTGTCAAAGCACAATAATATGTAACTAAACTCTTCAAAGAGAAACAGAAACACCTGGTAAAAAGGTTCATATCGCTTAATGAAGATAGTGTAAGACCTTTTAACAAGATTTTGGTTAAGCTTATGGTATTTCATGAGGGCGGAGGGGGGTATCAGCGCCAAAAAAGCTAGTGGGGGTTAGGCGATATACTTATTTTTTTAAATAAAGCCTTATAAAACTAGTTACAGAGGGGGGCGTTAGAGGGGTACGAACACCACAAAACTGCACAGATATAAAAATTAACACCGCACAGAATAACATAAGAAAACCGCAAACCGCATTGAAATTACCCGAAAATTTCTAAATATCGCGAACCGCTTGGTTTTGTAAAACCGCTATTTTATACCGCAAATTGAAAATAAAAATTTCTGCAAAACCGCATCACCGCAAACCCTTACGTCCTCCTCAGTTACACAAAGTCTACTTTACAAACCCACCCACTCAAAGGTAGTAATTTAATAAACATAACTTAACTCAAAGGCTTTGGTAAATAGTCTAGATATGACCATACTGATTTCTAACCTAAATCTGCTTTTAAACCTAAGATAAATTCCTTATTGATGAAATTCAGACCGTGAGCGTCAGTGCAGTTGCATAGTTCCGTGTGCAGGGCAGGTTTGCCTCTAAGCATTTGCAACGATGGCTGGAGGAGGAATTTTCCACTGGTTCTCTAAGGCCACCCCGCCGCTGGCTTGGTACCCTGCTCTATTAAAGTGGTGTAGAAGGACGTCCTAGAAAATAAAATGAGCGAGGGCCAAAAAAGATGATTTAGACAGGGAAAAATTAAGCTGAGCCGGAAACCTGGTGGTAAAAGAATTCGTACTCTATGTCGAACTCACACACCTGAGTTGATGGAATAATTTCCAGTGGTCGCCCTTTTCTGGTGAAGAGCTCTCTTTTTGTGGCGTTAAGCTTGCTTGCTGAACTGTTTTTGTCGTAAAGGACAACAACAAATCGCTCGATGATTCGGCATGTAACGCATTCTAGGCGTTCCACGCAGACGTTTTCCCTTTTCTCTGAAAAGACGATGTGGTATCTCAGCCAGTGATGGCATGGAATAGTGGGAGCGCTTTCGCTTTTCTAGGCCCCAATGCTTCGCAGATGATGTCGGTTGATATATACTAGAAATGTTTCCCCGTGCCAAAGGCGATCGATCCACTCACTCACATCAGGCCGGATTAAGCACAGGTTACTGTACTCCTTAATAGCAATGACCACTACGTCTTTGTCTACGGTTCTAATCAGCACTTTCTGCGCACCGCACCCCGCAGCAGCCCTGCATGTACAAATATTCGCGTGTCTGGGTCCTCGTGGTTAAAATCTTGCATATTTCGGCTGAAATGAAGTGCGTGTATTTCGTCAAATTCGTGTGACGTGGTGTAAAACTAGGGCTTTCTACAAGTTGCTCGGCAACTTTTTGGCAACTTTTTCCTGTTTCGAGCAACTTTTTGCATTCTGAGCAATTTCTCTGGTAACTTTCATTCTGAGATATCGGAGCATCTTTTGGTGCTTAAATTGGTCTTTCTTTCAAATTTCACCATATTTCAGTAGGCAGTTTATGAATTTCCTGTGAAAAAGGAGCCAAATCCTCCCCCATGGGCGCAAAAAAGTAGTCGGACTGCTAGGCCAGCGGTTTTGAGAGAAAATTCAAAATGGTGGACGAAGATTCGCACTCGACTGACTTGAATTGAGTGTCGCGGGCGAAGAAGGGCATTCAACAATTTTATTGGCTCATTACTTTTTTTGGTTTTAATTGAGGACATGTTATTTAGCAACGCTGTTTACGCCGCAAATTTTCACAAAAATGCTTAGAAATCTTACTTTGTTGTGATATTTGCATATTTTAGCATCAGACCAAAAAAAAGTCTCTGTTTTTTAGAGCATCTTTCGTGACAAAAAGCAACTTTTGATTGTTTTTTGAGCAACTTTTTGATAAATTACGGGAAACTTTTTGGAAAATCTCGAGCAACTTGTGGAAAGCCCTACTGGCACCTCTTTTGAGACTTCTGAATCTGTCCCGCATGACCCAAGGAATGTCTGTGCAAGTTTGGTGCTTGTTCTCAAAATTGCACAAAAAGGCTCATTTTTGTCGCTAATTAAGCACCCTACTACCCCTAATTTTTCATATTTTCCCTTCAATCAGCTATTTTTCCATTTTGAGTGCTTTGGGTTTTCTCAGCTGGTTTTTCGTCTTTGTTTTTATACCCAATTATTCTGTGACGGCAGAGGCAGTTGCGTACACAAGATGGATAATATCTATGAGAGATAGTTTTCTACATTGGTCTGGTTGATGACTTTGATAGCTGTTTCAATTGCTGATTTTGCATGCCGCTCATTGTTTATTTTTGGAATTGGTGGTCTCTGGCCAATGTGGGTTTACTTGCCTATTTCATATCTTTGGAGGATACTTTCTTTCATCACATCACGCTCACTGTCTCATCTTGTGAATCTATATATGTTCAGTGGATCTTGCACATCAGATTCACTATTTTTGTCGTTTTGTTGCTTCTTATTTGCAATTTGCTCCTCTGGCACTGCATTCGCATCTCTCTCAAAAGGTGTAGTAATTCCATCTCTCTCACTTCAGACTTGACGATTGACGATGTCACGACGGACATTGGCTAGTTTGTTGGCATTTAAGTTGAGCCTCTTGTTAGGGTTATTGTTACGCCATATGTCGTAGGTGCCTTGAGTAACAGATGTTTTGGGATTGAGGGAAGCAGTATGGAAAGCTGTCGGTGTGGAAATCTTCAGGTTCATGATGGGAAGAGTCTGTGCCATAAGCCGGATACTTTGACCTCAGCGTGGTTCCCTAAAGAGGGACGCTGCCCTTTTTCATGCACCCGCGCAACGACTTATCATTATTATTTCTATTATTATTATGATGATCATCATCATCATCATCATCATACTAATTTGTATTATTATTGTTATTATTGATGAATGACATTGATATAAAGCGACTGTCTACCTCTTAAACAGCGACTTCAGTTTTATAATAGCATTATTCGCCCTGTTTTGTCTTACCGAACGTTGTTTGGGCAAATTGTGATAAAGAGTCGGTTTATAGGGTCCTAAGATTGCAAAAACGTGCGGCACACGTTATTTCT